AAAAATGTTCAGCAAGCACCCTTCTACACATGAAATTTGGGTGGCTTGTGCTGGCCTTTATCCAAAAATTTAGATTGTTCCTAGATGCTCTGGAGCCAACAGATACAATAGAAATTCCCAAAGTATCAATTACAGATGACTCATGCTCTTCATGGTGAAAGGGCCTTTCTTTGAATAAAAAACTATTTAGCTTCCATTATGAGTGCATTTTTTACACTTTATGAGCCAGGCCCTGTGTCTAGGTGCATTTTTCAGAGAGCTAACAGACTAACAGATACAGAGCAATTAAGTAACCATTTGTAAACTCAAAGTGTGTTTAAATCCAAGTGAATGCTATGGTTTAATACTAAAGAGAGGTCAGTTGAAAGAAAAGATGAAGCCACCAATGGGCACCAGATTGCAGTCTTCATCTCTGTGGAGTTAGAGCTCCCTTTTTAAATACAAGAACAGGGACCTCTATTGGATAAATGGAGAGGTATAGACCTTGCAATATGGGTTTTGGCTAGAAATTCCTATAGACTTGTATTTCAAGGGACAACATGAAATAAATTATGTTGAAAGGAATCTAAGGGCCAAGCAACATAGAGATATTTGCCGTCATAATTCAGATGAACAGATAGCTCCAACCAGTACTATTCATAGATCCGAGTATATAAGGGTCCTTTAGATTCCTTGGCCAGGGTCTTAGGAAGCCTCACACTTTGCAGCACCTTCCTTGGAATTTTCTATTATCCCTCTCTGGTACCTGGGAGAGTCTAGGGCTGGCTGTGCTATCGGGGCAGGACACTCTTAGCCAAGAAGCCAAGATTTGGACCTGTGTGGGTCTAATCACTGAAAGCACTGATTATTTTATTTTATTTTTTTTAATTATTATTATTATTTTTTTACCTTTCAGACCCTGGGGCAAACCAGGGAGGCAGTGCCATCTGGGCACGGTGCCTGATCCAAGCAAACCATGTGGATTTGGGTCCCTCTTTCTCCCCTTCAGAATGTACCTTGACCCTCTTTCCCGTGCTTGGGGTCAACCAGATATCCCAGGAAGCCCAGAGACTTACACCCATGAGGTTGTTCTGGGCCAGTGGCCCAACTCTGGTTGCAGGAGGGTGATCTGACAAGTGAATCACTCACTCCTGCTGTCTGGAATGCTATTGTATGATGTTGGACCACTAGATTGTTGTCCTGCTGATTTGGGGTTAACTCAAAATGTTTACGTAGAAAATGAGGTGGAGGGCGCCTGGGTGGCTCAGTTGGTTAAGCGACTGCCTTTGGCTCAGGTCATGATCCTGGAGTCCTGGGATCGAGTCCCGCATCGGGCTCCTTGCTCAGGCAGGGAGTCTGCTTCTCCCTCTGACCCTCTTGGATCTCGTGCTCTCTCTCTCTCTATCTCATTCTCTCTCTCAAATAAATAAAATCTTTAAAAAAAAAAGAAAAAAAAGAAAATGAGGTGGAAAAAATATTTGAGTGGGACCCTCACATCTTAGGAGTGGTCCTGTGTCCAACAACTTCAACTCCTACAAGACCTCACCAGTGTAAATGTGCTTAGTGATACCCTAGAGAACTTCACTGAAGGCAAGAATTTTGACTTGGGCATTTGCATGCACAACTACTGGGTGGCCACTGCCAAGTGATAAGCAATTTATTATCTGAGTAATCCAGTCAATCATGAAACTCAAGCCTTCAATGTCTGAGTGCCTCATGCCATGAGAGGGTGGAGAGTTAATGATGCTCTCTTAACATTCCTTTTTTTAAAAAAAAAAAAAAAAGATTTTATTTATTTGTCAGAGAGAGAGGGGGAAAGAGAGACAGAGGGCAAGCACAAGCAGGGGGAGCAGCAGGCAGAAGGAGAAGCAGGCTCCCCGCGTAGCAAGGAGCTCAAGGCGGGACTCCATCCCAGGACCCCAGGATCATGACCTGAGCCAAAGGTAGCCGCTTAACCTACTGAGCCACTCAGGCATCCCTCTCTTCACATTCCTAATGAACCTCCCATAGAGTGAGTAACCCCTAGCTTCCACAGGCTAGCGTTTCATATCAGGGTCACTCTTGCCATTTTAAGGATAGGCTAAAGGATTTTCTACTCATTAAAGAATTTAGAATCCTTGTTCCCTGCCCAGTATGTATCAGTTGCCCTTTGCAGTCACTGTGACATTTGAAAACGTGCCTCCCTCCCCAATCAACATATGCAAATATTAATTTCCTTCTGGAGATTGGTACTGTCTCCAGTTTAGAACCATCAGTATAGAGAGAGCTGTCCAACAGAAATATAATTCAAGCCACAAATGTGAGTCACATATATAATTTTTAATTTTCTAATAGCTACATTAAGAAAAGTAAAAAAAAAAGACCATTGAGTTAAGTTTTAATATTTTATTTAAGTCAGAATATTTCAACATGTAATCAACATAAAATTATTAGATATCTTATATTCTTTTGCATTCTGTTTTCAAAAGCATATGTGTATTTTATACTTCCAACACTTAATTTGGACCAGCCACATTTCAAGTGCTTCATAGCTCTGTATGACTAGTGAATAAAATGTTAGTATAGATACACAGACAGATATTCCTAAAGTCCACATAGCCATATGAACCCACTACCACCTGGACAAGAATAAGGCAGACACTCTCCAGAGTCAGAGGATCATCCATAGAGTAAGAGTTCATCACCTGGTTTGGCTGAGATCATTCTTACCAATAGCTGGAACCTGAACTTTGCTGGATCAGTTCTATGAAAGAAGGTTCTCATCCAGAAATATTTTAATCGGGCTTAAAAAATGCACCTGATTAGACTTTTGCTCCTGCTTAAGGGTACTGTCCTACATGTGATCCTTAAAAATAATTTTACCTACTATGGCCATAAATGTTATTTTGAAACAGGATATAGCTGTAATTCTCTATTAAATGCTCTATTCAAAGGACATTAGATTTTGAAGTAGCCAGAGTATTTCCAAGCTCCTCATGCTTTTTATTTTTATAGTTTTATTTATGAGAAACAAATTCTAATATCTTTTTTTTCTGGGTCTAGATTTGACTCACCGTATTCTTCCAGAGCTGTCTTTGTTTTCCTCCCAGAGCAATCATTTATTTAAAAATGTTAGTTTTGCTAATTAAAATGTTGGGTTCTTGAAAAAAAACTGAAATCATAATTTAGATGTTCTTTGCTGAGAAAAAATAGAAAGCCTGATTCATACAACCACTCAGTGGTCGAAATGTCTTGTTTATTGAATGGGTCTACCTCATCAATCTCTATGTCCCCATCTGGACTGATCAAGAATTTTGTAACTTTTAAGTGAATCATTCATTTCCATTTCCATTTCAAGAGAACAATTTTATTGTTACTTGCAGACTGTGAATAATAAGTTATGGATATACAGTAAGGCAAGTACACTGATGAGAGAAATAAAATGAAAATACCCACTCACTGTGCATAAATGGAAAATCTCACATTTAAAAATGACCCCCAAGAGTCCTTCATTCAGCTAGTGGATGATTTTCCTAATGGTACCCACAATGAAATTCTTTCATAATAAAAATTAAGTATTAATTACACATGTGCATAATAATAAAATAAATTTTGGTACTCAGCTTCAAAATTATTGACTAGATCTAGACAACAGTCACTGTGTTTTCAGTTAAAGAGGATTTTGTTACAATTATACAGTTCAGTAAGAGAGTTACTAGGCTATGAGATTAATATTTATGCCAATGCTGCAGAATTTATAGCATCAAGTATTATAGATTGTTTGCTAAAATAAATTATGAAAAGCATTAACAACAAAATTTGTCACTGGTGCTTTAATAAGATATTTCATTTCACTAGAAAAACCGTAACCTGGCCAACCCCTGCAAATGTGAAGTCGGGAAATTATGACAGAATAGTAAAAATTGGCTTTAGTAATTTTATTTATTGATATATTGGTGATGTGTGTGTGTGTGTGTGTGTGTGTGTGTGTGTTTAGTCTTTGTAAGGGTTAGTATTAGCTTGAGTCTTTCTACCTAATCTTGAGCTTAACTGGAATTTAAATCCCTTACACTTAAAAAATATGCATACCTTAACCCACTTAAAAATAGTGAACATTTTTTCATGTACCTTAGCTTCATGTTTTTTTGCATATAGTAAATATGAGAAAAAACAGAGCCCAGGATTAAGTTCTCATTTTTCAATTGTAACAAGAATTTATTAATTAATTATATGTTTATGGATCCTGAATGAAATAACTGCATTGTAAAATGTGTACTTCTGTGTTTGATTTCCAACATACTTTTTTTTTCTTCTTCCTTTCCCTGCAATGTTATGTATATTGCATATTTTCGAGCGCCAATAAAAATGACACTACAGTAAATAATCTATGGCCTGCTGAGTAAAAGCAGTTCTTACTAAGATCTTTTGAAGACATGATTTTTTCCAGATGTCATTATAAAATTTACAAAACAAAAGAAAACCTGCCAGAACATAAGAAGTTCTGGAAGTAGGGCTTATACCAAAGGTTATAGGAGTCAGCCAGGTGAGGAAAAGATGATTCCAAAAGCAGGATATGAAAGATCTTTAGAAATCAGCAAATGCCTCTACATTCCCTTGGCTTGGAATTGAAGACATGCACCTGATTGGGTTCATTGGGCTATCATGTATCCCATTATATATAAAATATGTCACATTTTTCAAATGTTGAAAAAAACCTCACTCACTACACCCATACTTGCTCTTGTTTTTCGTAAGAAGAAGAAAGGACCTTGAAGCTTGCAGACCGTACTTATCCATGTGTTTATTATGTATTATGTTGCTGCTGGGTGCAGTTGAATAGGAGGCTAATAGGGTACCTTGTCTTTTCATTCTCTCAGTGTATGTCCATTTGTGTACCCATGCCATTTTACACATGTTGGGTTGGAAATATAAAGACTATCTGAGAAAGAAAAAAGAATATGTGGTTACTGAACCTGTTGATCATCTAACTTTTAAATTGACACAATGTATCCAACCTAATATGAATAGTTACTTCTTCACAGGAGGCTTTATGGAGACTGAGGCTGCCGCTCAGGAGTCCCTGGGGCTAGGCAAACTTGGAACTCAAGCTGAGAAGGATAGAAGACTGAAGAAAAAGTAGGTTTGGAGATTTTCTTCTTCCTTTTTCTAGCTTTTACTGACTATTATTTGTGGGGAATTAAAAAGACAGTAGTTGAAAGCAACAGACCAAGGCCACTGTTGTCCTAGGATTCCCTAAAACTACTCAGTGCTGGGATTTCCTGCTTCTACTCAGCTACAGTTTGAAATAGGTATACAAATCTTCGGCCTATAATAGAAATAAACAGTTTATTCTAAGAGACCAATGCATTTATTGCAAAACTCGTATATATTGAAAGTATTTAAATGTAGCCTCGTAAGTAATATAATAATCTATTTGATGTTAAATCCAGTACTGAATTGGTATGATAAAATGAGAACCTATACCATCCAACTTTGTGTTTCCTCTTACAACAATTAAAGTACCTCCTCTTAAATTGGAGTATTTAAAAGGAGAATATTTCTCTGACTGATTGAACATAAACTTATTTTAGACCCGGGGCAGATTGTTTTGCATCTGTCAGGAAACTGATAGTGTATCTTTTCATTCACATATAATATGGAACATTTAAATGACTTGCAAAATTGGCAAATTTTGAGTCTCAGCAGCTGTTAGAAAGCTAGTGGGTCTATAAATAACATATTTTTAAAATACAAAATAGCATTTTCAGGGATGAAATAATACCTATAAAACATGTTCTTTAAAAGCCAAAGGATTTCTCTATTCCAGAATATATTGGTTGGTTACTCCTTTACCTCTCCTCCCTCTCAAATATTTGTTTGTAGTTTTCATGTTTACCTTCTTTCCTATGAAATAATATTCATTGCTCTAGTTACCATTTTTATAAGAGATATGCTCATATGGTTATAGTATTTGGGATAATCAGTTGACTTCATATTTTGCTTTCTCATTTGCTTTACAGATGTTTACTAATAATGAGAAAATACAGACTTGCAAGTTGTAGAAGAGCTCATTGGCCTAATTATTTCATTAATTTTCTACTTATTAAAATTATATATGTATATATATGTATCCAAATGTAATAGAAGCACTGTGCAGAAATAAAGAAGTGACCTTGAGAGCATTATTTCTTGAATACAACCAAATGCTCAGTTGCATTCAGTGCAATAAATATTTCTTCTTTCATTACAGATCACTCAAAAATATAACTAAATCTTATCACAATCTGTTCAAACTCTCTTAATTTTATTTATTACTATAAGGAATGCTTTATTCAATTTTATGGCTATTTAATGAGAAAAAAATTCTTCTAAAAATCTGTTTTGATAGATTCTTTAGAATTTATTTCAAGTCTAAAGAACTAATTTTATTTATTTAAAATTATTTTAAGTCTAAAGGAATAAGAGTAATTAAAACCCAGGCTGGCTAATAAACTTGGTTTATTTCACTTAAAAGTTAATTTTCATTTTTTCTATAATGAAATATTTATATGTAATGGCAATTTGACCAGTTTTCACATTGCATAGAAGGGTGATATTGAGGCAAATAATATATTTCATTGGTTTATTTATGGAACCAAGTTAAATGTCTTTTTTAACAGTTACTAAAGTTAAACATTTCCAATTATGCAGTGATTTTAAGACTAATATATTTAAAATTTATTATTAACTTTAAACACTGTTGGATTAACTTAATGTTAATTTTATGGAGTTATTTCTCAAATCCTAACTACCCTCATAGTCAGAAACCAATTTTAGTTCTAGATTTGGTTTGAAGATTTTACTATACTTGACTTTTGAGTTTTATTTTGCAAAATGTTTTGGCAAAATATAATTTTAAAATGTATTAAATAAAACATTTGTCTTTAATATTAAGAAGAATATTAAGAACATTCTGTAATATAATAAAGGATAACATTTCTCAGTACAATTATTTCCTATAGGATAATGGTATTTGGGTTAAAAAGAATCCAACAAGGCAAGACAGAGTTGATTAATGGAAGAACAGAAGTATTTCTGTTATTATTGATTATTCCATAGCAGGTACCTCAGGAGTATAAATATGTAACCAGTATTTATGAGACATATATAAGTGCTAACCCTTATTCAGGACTTGAATGACACTGCGCCTTGGTTTCTGGATTACCAAAGAGTGAAGTGTCTTCATGTAATGAGTTTTATAAGATAGAAAAGATCAATTATTTCATGTTTATTGGTCTTTCAAGATGGATAAGAAATTCAGGTACATTTTACTGAAAAATAAACCAAGGCAAAAATGGAACAATTTCTTTGAAAATATTGAACACTATCAGTTTATGTGCATAGTTGGAATGACTGTAGCTTCCTCACAGTTGTTGCTGTATGTTCTATCCACTGACCAAGCCAAATGATGTTTCCAGGACAAAGTACTTAGCTTAGACCTATGTTCACTGCCCCAAAGTTTATATCAGAGCTTCATTAGTCTCAGTGGGAATAAGCAGAGCTGAAGAAAAATAAAAATCTTCGTTTCAACTTTACTAGTATATCAGGTATCTACAGTTGACAATCTGTGGATTGAAATTTAATTGAGAGAAATCCTATCTCAAGAAGTTAGTTATGACACATTTTTTAAAAACCATATGTGGGAGATACTTTCAGAGAACAGCACTCAAGATATTCCACAAATTCTTGCAAAGTTCAGAAATTTGTAATGTTGGCAATCCCAAACAAAGGTCTAATTTGAGGCACATTTCCCATCCAGCAAATTAAGCACACGCAGGTTAGAACAGCTTACTGGGTCTGGGTCCCTACTTCATTCTACTTTTACTTTGCTTTGTGATGTAGGAATTTGTTTTTTCTTATATTTCTCGTTATTTTCCTATGATTAGACATAGGACTAGTACAATAGTGGATCTTCTAAAGCACCCACTGTTCAAGAAAATCTTGTTGACCTTTCCCTTCCTGAGTTGGATATTACCATGCAGGTGCTATTCAATCAGAGCACCATCTTATCTAGGCCTGAAGTCCATCTACTGTTGTTCTGTCTGGTTTGCTTTTACTATGCCTTATCTTTGCTGTTCTTCCCTTTAAAGCTTTAATTACATTAATTATTCCAGTAGGTTTATATGGTATACGGTTAGTACCTACAATAACTGTGTCAAATTGAAACTCATCTAGTAATTCTTCAAGTACTTCACATTAATTTCTGGTCTTCCCCGCTAAAATTGAATAGTTTTTCTGTGGCCTCATGATACAGCTGTCCTAATCTTTAAGAACTGAGTCACGTATTCTCAGTATGTTCTCTCCACTTTAAAATGGTGATTCTCATAGTTCTCTTGATGTGGGCTCCTGCTGGAATATCACAGCTCTCGGAGATCTTGTCCATCATCCTTTGTTTGATTTCAGTGGACTCCAGGCACCTTCTCTAACTTAACACATGCTAAATGGCATCTCCATTTCTAAAATTCACATTATGAGCAACTAGCCCTGAGAATTTCACCTCTCCCCTTTTATACCTGTCACCCTGATCTTTAGGAACTTATTCCTCCTTCTTAGCTCTCCAGCCAATGTTTTAATCTAAGATCTACAGCCACTTGCTCAAGATGGCCAACTAAAGCCAACCACACAACTACGAAAAGTAATTGGGGCATGATAGAAGCTATTGCAAGGTCACAAACTTACATGGTCTGGCCCATCAGAATCTGAATTTCTTTTTTTGTTGTTTTGTCTGAGCATAATATTTTTATTGAAGTGTAATTAACATACAATGTTATATTAGTTTCAAGTGTACAACATATTGATTCAACAATTATGTAGATTATGCAGTGCTGAATTTCTAAATGTTCTTTAAGTCCCCAAATTTTCCTTAGGGTTTAGATGTGGGTCTTTTAGGACCCAATAACTAGAAACTCTGTTCTTCACCTAAGTTTAGAACCTATTTGATAATAGACAAAGGGGTCAGGCAGTTAGAGATCAAAATGTCAACTTTATTACCAATCTACCAATCGAGCTATTAGGGTATGACTTATGAATATGGCAAAAATGGGGGTTTCCCAAAACTGAAGCTCAGAATTAGAAAAACTTAACCTGACATGGAAAGAGCTGGATTGTCACAGATTTCCAAAGTGTGCAAGTATAATTCCCATCTCTCCTAAAAATAGCAATCTATAATATTATGATTCTGTAAATATGTCTCTCTAGAATCAAGGACTAGGAACTCACAAGGAAGGAAATGAAATTTTATGTCATTAGCATTTAAAAGAATTTTCAAAGTTTTAACATTTCAATGTTAAATGTATTAATATCTTATTATACTTCTTGCCTTTATTTTCCTGGAATATACATAGCTGACAATTTCCCATCACCATTTCTAGAAATGTGATGCTAGGGTGTATGGCAATCTCCCTGAGTTTTTAGAGAATCTGGAAATATATTTTACATATAAAATTAGTTGATAATTGCCAAAAGTGTAAAGCTATTGGTTCAAAGTGATTTTCTCTCAAAACTTTAAGAGTACTGGTCTTCTTGCTTCTAGTTATATCTAATATCAATTGATTGTCATTCTTTTGTATATAACATGTAGGGTTTATTTTCTCTCTCTCTCTCTCTGAGAGTTTTAAGAATTTCCTCTTTATCTTTGGGGTTCAGGAATGTAAGTATTTCTATTCAAATATTTTTTGTTTCTTTTTTCTGCTTTATACTTGCAATCTGAAGTCTAGTTAGTCTGGCCTGTTTTACATGTATTGACTTAAAAATTGTTCACTTCTAGACTCAACTTTAATTCCAAGAAGCCCATTTTTAGAGACTTAGAAGATTAAAGATGAAGTTGTCTGTTTCAGTAGTAATACACTGGTCTAACACTCTCATGACCGTCCCTGATAGGCAGTGAACATATTCAAATTGACAGAATACCCTGGGAATGGTTACTTATCTCTAGAAATATAAATTCTGAAATCTTCATCTTAATTTTTATCTGCAAATTTTCCTCCTGCATTTTTACACTACATAATTTTTTACTGAAACATGTGCATACTGAGGTCTTTTGTATCTTGAGACTTAAATTGAAAAATCCCATATAAATATTAATATACTAATTTATC